CAGGAGGTCTATTGTGTAAAAGTTCGGCTTTCCTAGACCCAAAAAGCTGTTGAAATCTATACAGCCCAATAACACAGATGGCGGAGGAAACCTAAGCTGACGTTATTGTACTCGGCCATCCTCAATGTCCCCAAGGCTGTCTTGTAAGAAGTCAGACTGTTTGAAGTAAATTGATATTGGAATCTATTACTGCACTAACTCTACTTATTCAGAACAAAATGGGGGCGTAGTCTTCCGAAGTTGGATGCCCGCAGCTGAAGATAGAACATGTTATTAATGTAACTATTTCGTGAAATGTTTACTACACGAATAAACAGACAAACCACCCACCGGAGCACAGACGCTTTTTGCACAGCATTTTCAAAGGGCGTTTTTGTGTTTATTTTTCAGCTAAAAACTTCGCAAAGCTGGTACAAAATAGTTTTACAGTTTCTTGGTTCCCTTGGGTTTCAAAAAGCTCCTCCGGATTTCCGCCTGCCTACGTTCGGCCAGCTCTTTCTGACGTTTAAGTTCTTCGTGAGAAAGGCAAATCTCGGATGACAGCTGCATAATGCGTTTCTAAAAGTTTATGATATAAAGAAAAACACATTATGCGATATTTATGTTAAATGTACCACATAAAAGATAGAACATGAAGTTAAACCAACTGTCAGTTGGACAGCCAGCTCCCTCTTATTCAAATGTGAGTAGTCAAAATGGCGACATTTATCCGTAGACCCATATTTCCCGAGCTTCGAATGAGTCCCTCTGTTTCCAATGGGCCTCATTAGATGCGCGATGGTGTTCGGCAAATGTATAACCAGAAAAAAATATGTAAGAGGTGCAGGGGTCAGAAAATCAGGGGGAGTGTCCTTGCTGAATATAGCATTCGCCGAAAGGGTTTTTCTGTTTAAACACACATTCAAAAGATCGCTTGCAGGGGATGATAACGATATTTGACTATTTTTCAAAGTCGGGGGTACGTCGTCAGACTCCAGCTTCTGTTAATCTGGCCAAATGCTACGGTGAGGGCAGGAAAGCAGATGTAGCGTACAGCCAACAACGCCGTCCGATCTCTTCGTTCAATGCCCGCTGCTTCAACTTCATACAACTTTGTAGGCAGCTGTTCATGATTCCCTAATTTGAAGACACTTGACCGAGTTGCACGCGCGTCCAGATAGTCGCGGCTGCCTTAGGACTACTTGAAAAAGCCACCCCTCAGCCAACACAGCATTGCCCTCTATATGCGACACCCCTAGCGCAGTGCAGCACACCAATCGCGTATCACTTGTACTTGATTCACCATTATGTGAA